AGGATTTAGAATAAATAAAGATCGATATTTCTTAGATATTCTTTGCATCCTTACGTACTATTGTGATGATTGGACAATTTCAATATAAATCAAAGTTTTGTGAAATGCGGTGTTAGCTTGAAGAAGTTTCCAGCGGATTATGATTATTATGACCTGCGGTAAAGCAAAATTTTTCTACAGGAGTAAGCATTTAGAAATAGGAAACATCAGTGCGTTAATAGAAATTGAATTCGTTGCAGTTCAAAAATTTAAAGGCCGTTTTTACCTCTTAAATGAAGAGAAAATCTTTGTTGGATTATATTCCAATGTTTCCAATTCCATATAACTTGATGACCTTTTAAGAGCTCATTAACCCTTTAACGCCCTTAATGTTATTTTTGAAAAATGTACCCAACCGCACTGATGATGAGTTTTGGTGGTATCAGGCAAAGACCATAGAAGTATTGAACAGGTTACAACGGCAATAGCACCCACTGTTACGAGTTATTTATATCGAATGACAGGCGTCTTGATGGTTATCATCAGTCCTTTAGTTGACTTCAGGCTTCACAGAGGGGAAGGAACATCAAATTGATAAAAATCGAGAGGGAGGAACAGAAGAGTGTTTCAAAGATGTAAAAGACAAACACAAATGTAGAAAAAAGGCGGGGGAGTACTGTGGAAATAGTCGAATACGGCATAGAGTGAGGTGATGGTAGTTTGAAGTGAGAAGTCATAACATACAGTGGGGTCATGGTAGTTTGAAGTCAGAAGTCAAGGCATACAGTGGGGTCATGGTAGTTTGAAGTCAGTGGTCAACTATAGAGTGAGGTGATGGTAGTTTGAAGTGAGAAGTCAACTCCCAGTTAACAGACTTTTTGTCGTATGAGAATATGTTACCCAGGGTTCACCACGTGGAGGTAAGTCTATCGCACACCCCCTGTTACGAATTTAGTACGTATGACCGTACGTAGTACTGTACAATCCTAAGGGCGTTAAGGAGTTAACCATTTAGCTAAACTAAGTGTCAATTATTCACCAATAAATTTCTCTACTTGCGATCAAAACCAGCAAGTCCATACGAATCGAAATGTCAAAGCAGGAGGACTCGTTAAATATCAATGAAGTCAAACCTAACCTATTAAAGATGTGCTTCCAGGTTGAGTAATACACACGATAACTATAATTCTGAAAATGGATTTCAGTTAAATGCTCCCCTTACCGGAAAGGTGGCATTATTTGAATAACCTAATTCGTGGAGTACACGACACTAACTTGACTGAACCAAGCAATCTCATGCGCGCTAGAACATTCTGGAACGAGTGTGAGCTACCGATCCCATAGCCATTAAGTGTGGACGTTCGGCTGATCATGTAGGGAGCAAGTGTGGTCATGAACACAGTGACCCCTCAGCCAATCAATAATCAAAAGTCACGTCACAGTCAGAGTAGCCGAAAATACATTTATTGGCTGCTCTTCTCGCCCGAGGCACACAATCCCGGCGAAGTTAACCTACATTAAGACAGCTAAGATAGTTTTGGGAGCCTTTGCTTACTAGTGGCTAGATGGTCGAGGATAAGTCAAGGCTTATTCGTATAGAACTCAGATTTAAAATTTGCGTAGGGGTGAGGAAACCACAAAGAGACCTCAGTTGAATATATCAAAAGATGAAAATATCATAGTTTTTACTATGGCTATTTCTTTCGGGCATCATAGCTGCAAAGGCAAAAGTAACGGTATGTCATTTAAGAGGAGGAAAGCCTTGCGCAATTTATGGCCACACATGTGATGAGAGCTAAAAGCACTTTAAGCGATTCCAAATCACGAAGAAAGAAGATTAAATTGAACACGGATTGAATGAATTAACGCACAGTTAGAAAATATAGTCAATTACTTGAAAACGTTAACTGAAAGTTCCATTTAACGGAACTGGGCAATGGGAGTTAACAGTTACTATTCAAATCGGTTCTTACAATAGAAACTCACTTTATCTTATCCATACTCAAATCCACAAATATGCCTTAACCAAACCTCATCAAACTCAATGGCGAAATCTAGTTTGAAATTGCTCCTTAATTAGCTCAGCCACCCCCAACAGTATCAAGGCCAGAGAACGTGCGAGGCGAATAGTTTGTTTTTATTTTGGTTGTGAGACTATGACAAAAAGCTTAGTCATTAAAACAACATTAAAAGTCTGTTAAACAATGGGGTCGCAAAGCGTTTGGTGATTGGCTGAGTCGTCTTTTGCACCCACGACGCACTTGCCCCATACGCGACAAGTAGCACGTCCGCACCTTCTAGACTGTACAAATGCTTGTTAGATTTGCATGTTTAGTCATGGTGGCATTGAGTGCAACACAGTATCTAAGCTTTATAATTGGTTTTTCATTTAATAAACAGTTTTATTTTCGCATTGTAGATGAGTGTTTCAATATGATATAGAATCACTGAAAACAGATGCATAGAAGCTTTAACATAATTTAAATATGAGTTGAGCAATTAAGAGTCTGGTTATGAAACTAATTATTGCCACTTAATCACGAAATTTGCCTCATTTGTGTAATTGATTGAATTATTTCAATTAAATAAATTTAGTTTTGTAGGCTTTGGCAAGCTATTTGAGATTATTGAACGAACATTTTTTAGACAATGCAATGCGTAAAAATATTGGATTTAACTAAAATGCAGAAATTCGAAAATTATTAACCCAGACATACTAAAGCAGAGGCCCAACTTTAATGGTCGGATTCCGTCAAACCCGATGAAACTTTACCATTGATAAGGCAGGCAATTATTTAAATAATTTTTTCTGCCTGGAAGGAAATAGAAGACTTTTTTGTTGAGGAAGTTACCAGGACTGTAAAATCCTTGTTGCCGCAGTAAACTTACTTCTTTAATGGGGTTATGGCTAACCCGAAATTTATAACATAAAGCAAAGCGATTTCATTGTCTGACCCATCCGAACCATCACATACAGAATTTTAACTTTAGTTCTTCCTATTTAAAGGAATTGATATCGAATGAATAATAAATGACAAGACTAAGTTTGCCAAACATAATCACTTTTGCGTGTGCAAGTCTACATTTTAATAAAGTGCTTGAGTAGCATATTAACCTAATTTAATAATTTAAATAAATTTTATTCCTTACAATAACGTACTACATGTCCAGCCCTCAACAAGTGAATTAGATTTTTCTTCGGAGAGTGCATATCCTTTTCCATGCAACAATAATTCCATTTAAAAAGACCAAAATAAGGATCGTCCAAAATATTCTGATTGATATTACTACAATAGGCACAGATTTTTCATTTAGGCAATTGAAAACGAAGTAAATGAGTTAACTCATAAGTTTCGATTGGTTTCTATAATGTATTTATCAATACCCTTCAGATTTCAGTGAAGTGAGTTATTTTATGGAGATAAATTTAAATTAAATAACTTGTCATGATATAGATTGGTCATTGTAAAAGACCCCATAAGTATAGATTATTAATAAAAATTGGGAAGAATAAGATAAATTCTTTTTTGAATTTACAATAACAAAAAATTAAGTGAACTGTAGTTTTAAAATTCTTCAAGGTTGGATTATCCGCAAAAGACGCCCAATTTGATCATAGATTTGCTAGCCTGTTTGTGCACAGTTGCGGAGTCTGTAGATGGCACATGGTCAATCTCCGCATTATAGTTCATGGTTTTAGGCGTTCACTTGCTTCCATGCGTGTTCTGAATGTAGCTGAAAAGAACGAGGCAGCGAAAAATATAGCTGTCATTCTTGGAAGGGGTCGGGCTACTCGCGTAAGAAAAAAATTAATTCTACAAATATTATTTTGCTTAACTAACTTGCACTATCTTATTTAGCGAGAAGGCCTTTCAAAATTTAACAAGATTTACGAATTTCCAATGACACTGAATGGTACTAACTGCTCATTTATTATGACATCTGTTTCTGGTCATCTTCTCAATTATGAATTTTCTCAGTGTTTTCGGTCATGGTATGAGTATTAAATTTCTGATATCACACTCTTTTCTTCAGGGAGTCGTGCAATCCTCTCACACTTTTTGATGCCCCTGTTGAAAAGAAGGTCACTCTCGAATTTGAACCTATAAGAGTAAGAAGATTTAGATCTGTGGTTTTATTTTTGTGTAGAAAACTCTAGAAAGAGAAGTTCGAAGTTGTACACACCTGCTCATTTGGACAGATTGTGATAGAGAAGGAGAGAATATTGGCATGGAGGTTGTAGATGTGTGTCGTCGGGTTAAAGCGTCAATTCAAATATTCCGAGCCCGCTTCTCGGAAATAACCCCATCGGCAATAAATCGAGCAGTCAATAATTTGACAACCATCGATGAGCGTGTCAGTCAGGCAGTTGATGCTCGACAGGAGCTCGATCTTCGCATTGGCGCTGCCTTCACTAGGTTTCAAACCCTTCGGCTCAGACGCGTCTTTCCCCGTGCTTTGGCCGATCAGTTAATATCATATGGATCTTGTCAATTTCCCACCCTTGGTTTCATTGTGGAGCGATTTCGAGAGGTGGAAAACTTCGTTCCCGAGCCTTTCTGGAAGATATCTGTTGAGGTTATTCGAGAAAATGGAGAAGCTTGCGCTGTTTTCCAGTGGAAAAGAGGTCGTCTTTTCGACATGGCTTGCTGTACAGCATATTATGAACATTTATTAGAGGTTGGTCATTGTTTCACTTTTTTATCAACATCTAATGCAGAGATTTTGGGATTTTTTTCAGAGTCCTTTCGTCTATATATTTCATTCCTTGGTTAAAGTTTATCTTTGCGTGTTCAAAGGGTTAACTGCTTAGGTGAATCTTCAGTGGTGATGACAATAGTGATGGTTTCGTTTTGTTTTTCATCAACACATAAGGCTATAGTTTTGTTACTAAAGTTATGTTTTGCTACTTTTTTATTCGTTAAAGCATAAATAACTTGAATCTTTTGGATGGATTCGTTTGATGAGGATTTCATTAGCGAAGCTTCACTTTCATGAGTATTTTCATAATCCCGCATTTCACAGTCAAGTTTAAGTTTGTCTGGTTTTGGTGGAAAGCTCTAATTGCGACACCGCTCCTAGTATCTAGAAATTCAGGGACATAATCTAACGAAGGTTTCCATCATACATTCTTAGAACTCGATGGGTCGAATCATTCACGTTCAACAGAAGCCCAAAAGTAAATGGCGCCCTTTGCCAATGGACACTGTTGAAATGGAGAAGCTGGCGTCTCGGAAACTTCGATTAGGGGTTAAGGAGACTATGCATTTGGCGGAGTCATTATATACCAAGGGCTATATTTCCTACCCCAGAACAGAAACAAATTCTTTCCCCCCAGATTTGAAACTCCGATCTCTTGTTGAGACCCAACTTCAAGATTCCAGATGGTCAGGTAAGTCCAGTTCCATTTAACCTTTACCTATTTTACTGAACTTGACTTCTTTTGAATAAATTTATGCATTTTATTCAGTAAAATTGAAAATCCCCCTCTGTTCTATATATATATATATATCATCAAAACAACTAATATTTTCTTTTCCTAAGCCTGTGCTTCTATTATTTGTCTATTTTCTTTGTGGGGTTCACAATATCTTTGCTCTACCATTTAGGAATTCAGTGTGGATGGGTGCACGCAGATACAACTTTTAATGTCTAATTAAATTATATTGTATTGTGAAATCGTGTTGCATAGTTAAAAGCATTATTTGATTACGTATCACTTAGAAACTGAAATAAGTAGGGAAAGCCTAATATTGATGATAATTGGATTTGGGGATGTCGGGTTTCAGTTTTCTTTTTTCTCACTTCTCCCAGTCTACTGATTGTTATTTTTCAATTAAATATTTACAAAATGAGCATTTTTATTCAGATTTCGCCCAGAGGCTCCTAAGCAACGGTCCTCGACCTCGAAATGGCAAGAAATCCGATCATGCCCATCCTCCAATTCATCCCTTGAAAGCGGGGAATACTCTACAGGTGAGTCACTTCTCTTTGCCTTATTAACTCAGTTCTACTGGTTTCAATTTTGTGGCATTTTCTCATAATTTTGTAACTCAGTCAGTAATGACAAAGATTCGCATCCACTCCGCACTCCAAATTTTTAGAGGCCCATCATTTTCACCATTGCATTCAAGGTACCTACCCCAAATCTATATTCTCCTCCCATGTACTGATTTCCGCATTTTGGTGTTTAAGTTAGTTTTACTAAATAGCAAATGAATTGAAAAGCAGTTAGCGGTGAAGCATCCCAGAGGCACCTTCGCCGTTCCTCTATGGTGAGTTTAGTTTTGTCGTTGCATTCAACTAATTGGTACTGATATTAAGGTAGAAGGGGTGTGCGATAGACTTACCTCCACTTGGTGCACCCTTGGCAACGTATGCTCATACGGCAAAACAATCTATAAACCGGCTGTCGACTTCTAACTTCAAACTACCATCACCCCACTCTATGTCATATCCGACCCCTTTCACAGTACTCAACTTACCCTACTCTCGACCTTTGTGTCTGTATCTTCTACATCCGTGAATCATTACTCTGCCCCCCCTCCCCCCACTCTGGACTTTGTGTCACTTCAATGTTCCCCCTCCTCTGTGAAGCCTGAAGTCAACTAAAATGCTAATGATAACCATCAAAACGCCTGCCATTTGATAGAAATATTAAGGTAGAAGCTTATGTATTTTGTGACTTAATATAATGAAAGGAATTCTAAGCCCCTCTAAGAGCGGTGTTATTAACTCTTTGCAAAGGCATTCCGGAGTCGTCCTTATGAGGAACTTACATCAGCCCCTCTTCTCACGGTTTGGCGTTAGTAATACTAGAAGTGCGTTGATGACCATCGATCTCCTGACTTTTACAAAGCACATCTTTTTTTAACGAAACATTGACCTCTCGTATCAAATTTTCTTTAATGAGAATTTCTTGCCCTTGTTTCTGTTCACAGTTGTTCATTGAAGAATTATTGGAACGCTACTGTTGTTTCACTTTTGTTGTTTTGAGACTATTAAATCATTGGCAGTATGTTCTGGGAAAAGCTTATTCACTAAATTCAATGGCGCTGGTCATTAGGCTGAACTGTTTTATCGAACGCCTCAAAATACGGTAATTGTTGATCTGTTGTCCCTTTGCAGGGCAATGAAGCACGTCTCTATGAGCTAATTACCCGTCACTTCCTTGCATGCCTTTCTGAAGACGCCAAGGGTGCTGAAACAACAGCCCGTTTTCTTCTGGGAGCTGCTGACAACATATCAGCATCGCATCTCTCATCCGACGAGGGGGAGGTTTTTGAAGCCAAAGGTCTGGTGATTCATCAAAGAAACTATCTGGAAATTTATCCTTATGAGTCATGGAGTGAAAAATACATGCCTGTGTTCCAACTGGGTGAGATACTAAAGCCAGATAAGATTGAGGTACGCTTGCTTCTTTTTCATTAATCCTTACTTGAATTCAGACCTCTGGATGAATGTTAGGGACACATGTAAAATAAAAAATACTTTTAATTTGAAGAGCTTTCAAATGATAAATCGGTACCAGTATATATCTTTTGTACTTTTCAAGTTTATCGATTTAATTAGTGGAGTAACCGTAAAGATAGCTAATTAAGTAATTTCTTTTTACTGTTTTGGAGTCTTATTAATCCTACTTGATGTATTAATATTTAAGATTTTTTGCATTGTTAAATGATTTGAAGCTAATGGAGGAATCCCTATCTACCCATAGACTTGACAAACAACATCCAACTATAATCCTTTTTGTGGAATAGTTTCCTATCGAGCTAAGTACGTCTTTAGGTCGAAGACGGTCGCTTCTGGAGATAAAAATTTTCAAAACTATCATCTATCCCTCCCCCCCTTTTACCGCTGTGTTCTTCTGACAATTAATATTGCTTGCTTTCTACAATTCAAGTTCTGGATGCCTTCTTTTCAAGTGGAAATATAACTTCTGTGATTCTTTAGTAGAGTTTAACTACGTATAATTGTATGGGTTGTTTTTATTTGAATAATAGAAAATTCTCGCTCATATTTAGCAGGTTTTGATGGGTATTTCCAATCTATTTATGTTATACCAACGAAAGATATTAGAGTATTATCGGGAAGTTTTTTCAATTTGCAGATGATCGAGGGTCGAACCACAGCCCCTAGCCTCCTTACTGAAGCTGACTTGATCGCCTTGATGGACAAGTATGGCATCGGCACAGATGCCACACATGCCGAGCACATCGAGACAATCAAGAAACGTCTCTACGTTGGTTTGCAGGATTCTAAATTCCTTGTTCCTAGTCAATTGGGAATGGGTTTGGTTGAGGGTTATGATTCCATGGATTTGGCTGTCGCAAAGCCCTCTCTTAGAGCCGAATTGGAGATCGATTTGAAGGCGTAAGTCAAAATCCCTCCTGCGTTACCATTTACTACATAACCGCTTTCGTCTTTTCCTTTTCATCGACAGAATATGCGAAGGCAGAAAAACAAAAGAGGGTACGTTTCTGCATAGTTTTCTTTATCCTGCTTTTCTAGAGGTCCTACAGTCTCAATTATCCAAGTATAAGTCCGCATTTGAGATGGTTGTTAGAAAGGCCCGGAAATTGGATATTGCCATAGGGAAACACCTTTCACAGGATGTCGAAAATATTCCTGGTATGTTGTGCGTTTCAAAGCTAACTTCTATTTTCAATTCTTGCAGATTTTACTGAAGATTTCTCACATCGGGGTCTAGGAGCTGGCAGCTATCAGAAGCTCCTTTGTTGCCCTTCGTGTGGTAAAGATGTGATTATTCGTCAAAAGTCATCACAAGATTCAAATACGACCACCGGAAGCACTTTGTCGAATCGGTTCGTTCCTTTTTTTGTTACATATTATTACCCCTCCACCCCCCCCCCCCCCCCCTATTGAATAAGAAAGAATCTGACGTGAATTTTAGAATGCGGTGGTTCTTCTCTTGTTCGGGTTTCCCCGACTGCAAGTATGCTATTTGGTTGCCTGATTCGGTCACCGCTTCTCGGGTTATTGAACCTTCCGAACAAGGAGCTTCAACAAGCCTATCGGCAGTCTCCTGCAAACCTGATTGTCCCACAGAAGGAAAACTAGTTGCACTCAAGTTTAGATTAGGAACAATATTACCAAATGGATACATGCAGGAGGATCCTGACATGGAGTAAGTTGGACTTTGGATTTAATCTAAATTGCTTCCTTTAGATATGTCACATGCTTATTTTGCGACGAAGAGTTTCGAATGGCTTTTGGTGTTCGAATAGCTACATTTGTGGATGGCAGTGGACCTTCAAGCACTGCTGGTCGACAGCCTCGATCTGTTTCACAGAGATGTTCTGCACCTCGCCAACCTAATCCGTTCCAACAATCTCAAAATCGAAATTTTTCCACCTTTGCAACGTCCACTCAGGTATGTGGAGGATGCTTCATAATCCTGTTTATCTTGTTGTAAACCTATTTGAATCAGCACCATACATTACTTTTCTGTGCTTCCTTTCTTTTCTTGTATACTTTTATTTCAGCATCCTAACATCCTAGTCTCGCAGCAACCCCCGCGCCCGTTCTTTAACGTTCCTTCGTCGTCCACATCTTTCGGTGGAGTTAATAGCAGCTCTCGGGAAAACGATGATAGTAATCCTATAGTGTGTAGCTGTGGCATCCCAGCACGTCTTCTAACTGTTCGAAAAGACGGTCCAAATCAAGGTTACTTTAAAAGTTTTCTACTGAAATAATTTAAGTAGAATCTGCACGTATCACAATATTACTTTTTTTGCTACCAACTACAGGTAAAAAGTTTTACAAGTGTGGTGATACTTCCGACGTGTGCAAATTCTTCCTTTGGCAAGATTCTTCTCCTGGGAGGTATGAATATAAATAATTTACTGTTTTATTAAAGTTTTTTTGTTTGATTATTGTTCTTATTTAGCTTCACCTCGAATGCCATTACCGTCAGCGCTGATTCAGGACTTGGCTCAAATAGTGGGGAAGTAGTGTGTACCTGTGGATTGCCTGCTGTCAGGTCAGTTTTGAAAGACAAATACTCGCTTGCTTTTTCTTTTTTTGACTTTAATGAATCGTTTAGAAGAGAGTGTCTGATTTGGACTCGTTCCTATACTTTTCCTTTGATCTTTATCATACCAACGGTTGTGGTAAGCAGATCTATTGGCAAATGCCTTCAAAGAAAGTGAGGAAACTAAGAAACTTCGAATCTTTGTATTGTCTGAGGTTATTGTGAAATAGATTTACTGGGGGGCAGTGACCCACCCGTGTTATGTTCGTCTTTGGTTATACATAGGGTAAGTATAGACACAAAAAGACATTAGGACATCTATCAGAGACCCAGGAACTTTAACTCAAATATCACATAGATGCTTCAATACTCCACGGTATGCTTAATGTTTCTGCTGAGAGGTTGTGGTCATGTCTTCGGAGTCAAGGTAATAGCCTTAAGCTAATGAGAAATTCGGTGTTAAATATAGTCAGTTAAATTTCGTCTTTTTTAGACGGACGGTTAATCAGGCTACTTCAAATCGTGGGCGGCAGTTTTACGTTTGTCCAAACAGTGCTCCTGGCAGTTCTGATGGATGTCGATTTTTCCAGTGGGCAGATAATACCGCTTCCAACTCTTCTATTGGTGCTTCGTTTCCCAGACAGAGGGGTTCAAGGGGTGGCAGGTCATTTAGAGGTGGTTTTCAATCAAACTCATCCTCAATCACAGCCTTTGGAGATGGAATTGGTGTTGACTGGCCACCCCCAAACCCTGTTGGGAGAGGTGGGTCTAGAAGTCGTGGTGGTGGTGGTAGTGTCCGAAAATGTAGCATCTGCCAACTACCTGGGCATACGAGAAATAGATGCCCATCAGCACTTTAAGATTAAAAGATTTGCCTTCCTATTTATGTAGATTTCCTTCCCCTGTGTATATGTTCTCGCCAAAAGTCAGCGGTTTTCCCCACGTTCAGTTTTTAACATTATTAATAAAATATTTTTTTATTATGTCATTATTGCGTGGTAGGGGAATGATGAGGCCCTTATCTCGATAGATCTAAGTAATTTTTAAAAGTTGATTAAAGAATAGGCAATAATACTATCATTAAAAAAGGTCTGGTGCTTCGTAGATAATAAGTAAATTTCGAGTTGAAGTGAATACCTATCACTACACCAGGATTTTTCCAAAGTCAAAATTGATAATGTAGTAACACCGAGTACTTAAGCGAATATTTACTTTTGGTAAGCTCCAGATGAAAAACAGGGAGAGGTGATTGGCTTCATTATTGGTCAAGAAACATTTGATCAATTGCATTGATGTGTTTCAAATTCACGGACTAACCATACGAGTTTCTTTTGAAGGCATAGGGGCGCATAATAGACTTTATTACGTTTGTTTAAAGTAATCATGATTGGTTAAGTCCAGAGTATGGTGTGATTGTCAACGGCCAGTGAGACGAACTTGAAGATTACTATAGAGAGTCGATATCCATCAATGATTTGAGATTAAAATTGAATTACTGGCAATGCGATCTTGATCACAATAACCACTTGAAAAATATTATATGTGTACGTAGGGAATCTCTTATACAATGGCACATTTATATGCCCATTTATGATAGCCGGAAAAGTGGACCTTAGCACCTTAATGAAACAATGAAAAATTTTGAAATAATCTTAAATAGCATAAGTTAGAGGGCTTTAAGATAAGCATAACTGGATTTGGAAACAGGTATAATAGCCTCTAAGTGAAAAATATATCTCAAATGTAGAAGAAAATACAATCTTCGAATGAAAATATGGTTTTTAAATTTTTTCTTAATTGTTAATACTTTAATCTTTAGATATTTAAAACTCAAAGAATGTCAATAATTTAAACAAATACATAATTTGCGCACACATTTTGAAGTGACCAATTATTATGCGAATATTGAAAAACTCTTCATATATTAGGAAATTTGCGTAATGAGTGTGGGATTCATTGTAAGTGTCAGGTGTCGAGAGGATAGTTTTTGCGCTCTTGAATCAGATCAGTTCCATAAACACTGGTAATACATAGAGATTTTAAGCGACAGCAAGAAATTAATTTAACGTTTCTTTCAAAATTTATCTTTTCTTTTTGTGTGTTCTATTTATATATTTGTATTCTTCATCATGTATCATGTAGCTTCTGATATTTTGATTTGGCAGGAACTTCTGCTTTAGCCTTTATTTTCACAATATATGCCCTGTAATATCTTATTTCCCAATATTTTTTGCAAAAATAGAATATGCCACTTCAACAGGAAAACTCGGAGCTGAACACGACTTTTAAATTGAAGGTTAAATGTAAGTTTTCGCAACTTTCTTATTGCGTAATTATGCTTTTAAACTACTTCCTTCATTTCTCTTTGTAGTTCAAAGTGCTAAAATTCATAGGCATACACGATCCAGTGTACTATCCCGGGTTCGAAACCCCGTTTTCAGAGTTGATTTTTGCACCACAACCTGGGATGCTCCTCCCCCCACAGATGATCCGAATAATTCCGTAAATATGACCTCAAATCGTGGTATGACGCCCGCCAAATCTGGTTGGAATCCTCACTATGGGTACCGGTCTCACTTTAACATCTCTCCTTCCTCTAAAATCGAATTTCGCATAGTGTCTCTGGCGCCCATGCACGCATCTATGTATGAGCGTTCCGGGGTTGTCATTGGATATTGTCGTCTGTCAGTCCGTGATGCCCTAAGACAACATGGAAATTGCTGTATGTACTCACTCATTAATTAACCACGCGATTATTATACGTGATTATATCCCAGTACATTCTAGTATATGTCAGGACACTCTTGATCTAGTTAACACCGATCTTTGGCCACAAGTTTTTTTTAAATTCTGCTATTACGTACGTTTTAGTGGACGATGCAGCATTTTCATTGGACATTAGTCCTTTGCCTTCGGATCAACCCACAGATGGACAGACGATTTCCACTCTAGGAACGCTGAATCTCATACTCAATGCCTCTACTCGGGCTATTAATGCTGCTCTGGTGGCCAGCAATGTCAGTCAAAGACCATCTGTAAGTAAACATCCATACGTTAAAAGTCGAGGTTTGACGATTGATGATCTAGAGTAGAGAGGTCATTGTTTTCATTTGGCTTCAATTCCTTGAGAAATTATTTTTTGTCTAATGAGGCTTGATTTAATGATTGTAATGGTTAGAGTTTTTAGAATAGAACTTATTATATTTCATCAGTTATAATTGATTGATTTGATTACAGAAAACTGTATTTACCTACCTATATACCGATAACGCCCTTTCCATCTTTACAAACAAAAAAATGCTTACATCTTTGAAGGATATTTGTTGCACTAGCAATTTCTCAGTATCTGCTTTATTACATGTGACCTGTAGACTTATAAGTGCCTATAGACGTCATAAAATGTGTGTATAAGGTCCAATTTCTTTCTATTTAGTAGTTTTAAGTTTCGGGAGAGTTGAATTTTTCTTGTCGTAATTGTCTAGTCTTTGGTGAACATCAGTGGGTAAACGGTGCTCGTAATTTGTGGTAAATGTGCCTTCTTGATAAATATTATCGTATATTTAGAAGCTAAATTGGCTCGCGTTCTGTTCGAGAAATTCAAGCTGCTTTCTGTTCAAATACTGCCTCTATTGTTTGGGGTGTGTGTTTGTGTGTGTTTGCGCTTGTTAATGCCTTAATATAATCACCATAAACATGTGAGATCAGTGTGTCGCTGAAATTCATTTGAGTAAAATCTAATCTTATAAAAGCGTCTGCAAAACTTATAACCATCTTGGTGAGGACTCCAGGAAATCTTTTCTTAGTCAAAGAGCTTGTTTTATGGGTTCTATCTTTTTTTGGAAGGGGGGTGGGGTGGATGTTGTGATCGAACACCAACGAAATAGGCTACCTCTTTTTGATAAGCCGATTTCACTGAAGATTCATTTTGGTTATCAGGGATCAGTGAGAAATGGTATGAAGACAAGAAACACCATAGGCATAGCCCAGACAAATTTCGAGATAGGACTTCATGCTTTAAGGTCCAATCAAGTTGGCGCGAGGGACAGTGTTAAATCTGTGAATTTTTGTAAAAAGGCTGTTGCCTTTATTGCAGACGTTTATCAATATTTTACAATGCTTCAAATTCTTGGGTAATATAGGACTTTAAGATTTAAGTAAGGGTATTTTCGCATCCAAGATGTCTCACATACTCCTTACAATTTCCAATCGGGTCGTTGAATTGCTCTTTTAAGGAGTACTTTTCTTTTCTCATTTCAGCCGTCAGCAACTCCTTCAGCAACAAATGCAGCAACTTCTGAGGACAATCGTTCTTCAACATCGACAACAAACAATAACACAACGTTGACTTCGCGACGACAAAGTTCCAGTATAACAGCTCGCACTCTCCCTCCGTCAACTGCTATGCGTGCTGATGCAAACACAGAAGGTTTGCCGCCATTCTGGGAACGTCGACGAGATCCCATGGGCAGGACTTACTATGTCGACCATCTCACTCGCAGAACTCAATGGGAAAGTCCACAACCGCTCCCCAGCGGGTAACAATACCTTTCCTCCTTCTCGCCATTTTGATCAATGGGAATCATGCAGGGCTAGGGTCAGAGTTAAACATATCTGTTTCGAGAAAGCTATATGCAAAATTCGAGTATTTCTATGTCACCGTTTCCAGCACTACTCTCTGTTGCGACTCGAATTTGGTCACTCTCCTAATCAGGCTAATGACGTTTAGGACGTTGAATTGATGTAGATTGTTACAAATGGCCAAATTATGAAAATTCGCTAACTTGGTTCGAACATGCAGCGATTGGCTACGCTTTCAAGCCTTGAATTATGGTCAGTAATCTCTGGAAAGTTTTCCTAGTTTGGAAAAGCTACCTTAAAGTTATTGGAGGAAACAGACTTGTCGTGGAACACGTCTATTTTGACTGTGTGGTTTGTCACGGAGCTTGGTCATTACGATACAATGAAGGTTTTTAAACAATACAAGGTCTATTGATTGGTGTCTGACTGAGAGGTCACTGCCCTCACCCCCACACTTGCTGCCTACACGACAAGTAGCGTGGACGCACATTGGGGTCTGTCTGCGTGTGCTCTTACGATTCCCTCGTTCAGCCATGCCACCTTTATGCACAGCACAAACTCGTATTGTGCTAGTTTTTACCGCCTTTGGTTTTAGTGCATTTTTGTGTTCTAGATGAGTGAATCTGCTGCCTAATTAGCCCTTTCTTACTTTATTAAGAGGGCGTTTTAATAAATGAGGCACCTACCAATGGCCCACATTGCCTTGTAGAGCTGTGCAAAATACAAATAAATGAGAGGAGGAAATATTTGCTTTCGTTGCTGACTCTCTGTGCTAATTTTTTTTGAAATATTGATATTTCAATTTTGCTACTTCTTAACGGCATTCTATGCGGTGGGAGTCGCAATTTTTTGTGTAATCCAATTTGTGCAATTAAACTACTGTTTACACGATATTGGTGCTTTGCATTGGGCCATATTTGATTGCGACAGAGTTTCTGTGTTTTTTTTTTGCCTCTCATTGATTTGCCTCTTCCTTAGTGAAAGGTTTTTTGGATGTTGGTTAGATTTCGCTCTTTATTAATTTCTTTCCTAATGGAGTCTGGTTTTGGCACCTTTTTCCTGCCAATTTCGTTGCATCATAATTGTTAATTTTAATGCATGATTTGTGGATTGCCATTGGACAAAATACAACAAAGGCGACTGCTCCAATTCTTGCTGGAAAGATGAAGTCTTATTAAGTTTAAGTGCAGTCTTTAGCTATTGGCGAATTAAGGCACAAAGTGTTGTAATCAGCCGAATTTATATTTTCGTATAAAGCATCGCAATTTTGATGCTTCTATCCTACCAATTTCTGCCATTTTGTTCTCAAACTAAATTGGAGATAGTCGAAATTGGCTCATTCTTATCATTTAATTTCATTATATCAGTTGATTTGGTTGGTCATCAATCACTATTATAGGCTAAGTTTATAGAGCGCAGCCTCGTCTCCAGCATATCGAATTCCTTCCGCATTATAGTTTTCCTGAAAATGCAAATAGCTAAACATATTCTCCTTAGTAGTTAACCTTTTCTTCTAAGCTATTCGCTCCTCACTCTTTTTTGATTATCATTTTTTTTCTGACAAATTATTTTCATTTTCAATTGTGACCCTGTGTGTGCGTGGGTGGAAGTTCTATAGTCGTGATCGATTTTACTTTGCTATTAAAATCGGGCAATATTACTTACGTTATTGCCTTTTCTCATGTACTTTTAGTATTTCGCGGTGATTCTGAGTTCCTTCTATCCGCATACTTCACTAGCGAGTAAATTCGATCCTAAATTGACTTTTATGATCCTGATTTACCAACTTATTGAACACCCTCACCACTTTTGTGTAAAATCGATAATTTTGAGCTTGTACCTCTCTTTTTAAGGGAAGGGGGGTGGCTAACTTGTGAAAACGAGATTGCAATTAATTTTTTTGGCAAGTCTACCTTTCTACTTTAATAATATCTAACGTTGGGTTTCGATTTAATTTCATACCTAATAGTATATTTTCAAAATTCACATGAACGTACTACTTTTTTCACATTGCCATTGGGTGAAATCGAACTTTAATCCAACTCTAATGCGTGTTCCATCGAAAGTATGAGTGATGTTTGAGATTGGTTTCACTTTTTAAAATTTACTTTCCCAAGTCTTCCTTTCTTCGCAGTGAAGTAGAAAATCTTAGTGTCATCGTCGATCCTTTATTCTGTTCCATTTTATCTCCACTTCATATCTATTCGCTACTTTGGAAGAAGTTGGCAAATGAATTTCCCCGAATTAGGAGATAGTCCGTGAGTGTCATAATTGGCTATCCTCTGACCCTTGATAATTTTATAGGACCGGTTCACCATCAAAATGTCATAAGTAAGTATTGTTTCGCCTTTCTATCGGTCGAAAATTCATCTCTAGGGCATTTTCGGAACCTGCAGTAGATCTGTGAGTTTATTGGATTCATATTCTTTCAGAATTCTTAAGTTTTCACACGGCTTTAACTTTGGAGTCAGGTATGTTGAATCGGGATGGAATCTAGGAAAAAAATGGCATTCACAACCTTTCGCGTATGTGTTTAAATCCTTTTTTGTTGCAAAATCTTGTCTGTTTGATCGATTTTTATCGTTTTTTTCTTCCCCTCAAAGGCTTGAATATATCCTTAATTCTGGCCGCCTTAAGTACGTTGTTCTAATTAGATGGTTAAGTTGTAATATTTAGGCGTTCCTTGTCCATGGGAAATGATATGTATGTATGCTAAAGTATATACTAGCTAGCTCTGCATTCGTTTTGTTTGTTTGTTTTTTGCTTTGATTGGTTCTTTCGAGATTGGAATGGTTTCAAATTTTACTCTATCCGAAAATTAGCGATGAAAGGGAAGTTGAAACACCGCGCAAAAGGGCCCGTCGTGAAGATGAAGGCACGTATGCTTTTTTTTTGGGGGGAAGAAAACCGACTTAGCAACAAAATGGTTATCCTCTTCTTCTTTTTTTCTCTTTAAGACCACGAGATGCAGAAGGAATGAGGAAGTGAAATACTCACTGAATTCTTTTGATATTTTATTTCAAATATACGGCACGTTTTATTCCTGAGGTTGCATTTTGATTGTGCCTGACTTCCAGTGGTTTGATGGGCTGTTTGAGTGATGAGAGAGAGAGAGGGAGAGAGGGAACTGTTTGAGTTTTTTGTTTGCGAGCGATGTTGACTTGGAATTGCGTTTATTGCCGATTGGCTTTCATTATGCTGAACTAGATGGAAATGTTAATCGTTTTGAAGCGGTTAATCTTTTTCGAGCCTATTTTTCGCTGATTGGTTCTACCGTAATTGATACCTCTTCATAGGGTGTCATCGTATTAGTGAATTTCAAAGCCATTGTTGATTTTAGTTCAGTAAAATAACATCCACATAAACATGTGTCGGTTGCGTAGCGACTCGAGTTGGTAAAGACTACAGGCTCAGTTTTCATGAGTTCCACAATTTGAAGATTTAGCTTACCTTGTTTGATAATAGAAAGCATTCAGGAGAATTTTTTCCGATATCCATGCCCTTCCTCAGAGAGTCTCTGGAATGATACTCAGCCCCCCTCCTCCCCTCCCTCCTTCCTTAAATGCACTCGTGATATTTCAACACTTGACTAAACAAGGTAGATCAAAGTGTCCTTTCTGATATGTTTTAAACAACGAAATTTAATAAGTTGTAAAGAAATGTGCATTTTGTGACCTAATATAATCGATTAAGAACACTTTTCACTGCCTTTCAAATTCTGATTTTCTATTGACAAGAACGCTGTTCATTTCTTTTTTTTTCGAATTTCAAAAACCCTGATTTGTAACGAAAATAACCTTAGGGTCTTCCATCACTTCCACATCTTCTTCATTCCTTTTCATAATTTTATGAAAATACGTTGTCGCTTTTCTTGACATTTCTAACTTCGTTCTTCCACTTCGGTCCGTGAAATTTGTTGCTTGGAATTCTTTCCCCGTGGGCACCTTAAATTTGACGGTGCTCAGAATGAATGCTCAGAACCATCCATTTTCTCTAGACCTTGGAATTGGACTTCTTCTTGTCAGTTTACTCCTCATTTGGATGGTAATGAGTACGTTCAACTATAACGCTCATTGAGACTGAACTTTTCTCCTTAATTAATAATCAGGGATCCAATTTGTCCTCTGTTAATCTAGTCAACAAGAAGAAATGCATTACCCAAGCCAGTGGCATGTACTTTTGACGTATCGGTTAGTGTGTGGCTTATCTCTGCGACCGTGTATTCTGGACCTGCCAATTTTATTTCACACGAGGTCTTTGGTTTGCGCAAACGAGTTGTTTCACAGTAACGGATTTAAAACCATTTCTTCGTCATTCTTCTTAATGTCGTCTTGAGTGCATATGGAGGCGAACTCTGGTTCCAAGAATAACTGTGGTGGTTTAATTTTTTAAATAACGTAATCAATCAGCTGTGAACATTTCGAGAACCTTCAGAAAACATGTCGCACCATCAATGAGGTCTGCTACAAATTGGGAAATGTTAGTTCATGTACTCCAGCATTCCGTGGTAGGGGAAACGACTTGCACAAGGTTGTGTAGTGTTTAAGATTCTAGTAGGGTACTAGTTAATTCTAGTAAACAGGAGGAGGAGGGGTGGTCGAATAAAAAATTCTCCCGAAAATGGCTTGAGGATGTCTTCCCTTTGCCAGCAATTATCATAATGCGCCTGGTAGGTATTATGTAGTTGATTCTGATATTTTGTCGATTAATGACATGGTGAAACGAACCTAAACTTACTCAGAATAAAATCACTCATTTTCTCTATTCCGCCCCTGTGTCTAGATGGGAACGTCGTGTTGACGGCAACAACCGTGTCTATTATGTCGACCACAACACCCGAACAACCACTTGGCATCCACCATCGGCTAATTTGCTCGATAATATCACTCGTTGGCGTCAATGGTATGAGACGCGTTCGGGTAATATGCATAATCGCATGTCAGAAGTCTATGCCTCTTCTGGTTGGACGGCTGGCTCTCAGCAGGCCGCTGCTCAGAACCCAGGGGGTACACCTGAGGCCCTTGGACCTCTACCTGAAGGTTTTGGTAAGTGACTTTTTGATCAGTGGGCTTTTTGTGAGCGATGACGATGAAGGTTTATCGCACTCACCAACTGAATTTGAAGTGCACACCTAAGGAGTGGAATGACCAACTGCGCTGTTTACTTGTGGCCAATAAAATTGGTGGTAGAGCTGGCCTTTCTCATCCGAAAATTACGTGATATTTAGCGCATTGTGTAACGCTGATAGCTAGGGGGGCAAGGTGTGAGGTGCCTCCTTAACTGTGAGTATGTATCAGTGGCGTAGACAATAAGTATGCATGCATGTACTGGTTGAGTTGCTTCGACAACCCCCCCTCCCACAACGTCTCACGCGCCGCCCAATTGCATTTACTGTTAGGCAACGCTCGTCATTGTGAATTTGCTAGCTTAAGCTCTTTGCTTTTTCGTCCCTCGCGTGTGATGCAAAGAAGTGTGTGTACGAGGCAAATCAATCCATAATATATCTATATATATGTGTGTGTGTGTATAAGTAATTAACCTTATGCAACCTCATTTATTTTGATCACGTTGAGGGCTTGCAGTGAATGGGTAAGTGAATTGTATGCTGACGACGTAGCTGCCATTGATTCGGTACTCATCGACATCCACGTCTAATATAGTATCGAACAGGAGTTAAAGTAGCTGTGATCGTCTTTATCGTTTTTCCCCATTAGAAGAAAACTTTACAAAGTCTATCACCTTTACCACCTTTTTTAAACTTTGTTTGATAATGCATCGACTTTAGACTAAGGCTTAGCCGTTTCTATCTTATAATTGGTTAGCTGTTTAATTCTAGTTGATTCAGGGTTTCTGAATTCCTTATTGGGGGAGTCTTTAGGAAGCACTCCCCTTCAAAAAGTTGAGATCTCAATATGTATCTCCTTCACCATGAAGGAAATTGCATTTAGTCTTTTTCTAAATGTAATAGGTAGTTATGTCTTTTTATCTCTTTTCAATATTGCTTATAATATATATATATATATATATGTAAGAAAGCACTTAAATTGCTATATTTCCTTCTGGAACGTATGAATTTAACTAGATGTAAAGTGTTTCCAAGCAGGAAGTTTAGATAGAAGGTATCAGTCACATTTCCCAATCGCAAATTTGCTTTCTGTAAGTCATGGTTGGCGTCATATCCATGCTTACTCTCGGGGCACTTTTGAGCACTTTTTATCGATTTTGAGTCCACTTATGTTACTAAATTTCAAGGCTCAATTGTTCCACATTCTTGTAAATCTAGTAAATACTATTTGCCTAAAGGTTGTATTCCTTTCTTTTGTTGTGTTTGATATTGATCGATTTGTCGTTTTTCTCTTCAAAATATCTCTATTATTATTCCCAATCAGTTTTAATTAAACCAAAATAAAGGCTTCTCATGTTAGTTGTGAGTATATGTTTCGTAGTTTGCGAAACGACAAGTTGGTAATTTTCTTCACAGATTAAAGCTACTTATTTCATTAATTTAAGTAGTGTGTGTATTTCTCCCATATTCTAGAACGCAAACGTGATGAAAACGGTCGTGTATACTATGTGAACCATCGAACTAAGACCACTCAGTGGGAGGATCCTCGTCAATCAGCTGCCCCTCTTCCTCCTGGTTGGGAGACGAGATACACCTCTGACGGCATCATTTTCTACGTAGATCATAACACCGAAACCACCACTTTCAATGACCCACGTTGCCCTGGTTGTGTGTAAGTGCTCTTCTGGTTGTTCTAGAACATCCAATCACTTGATTCGTGATATATTTTTTATCCATTAATCTATCGTAATTATGATTCAACCTTCACGGTCTATTTAAAACTCTATCGTAGACTTTATTTCACACAGTCTTATTTGCGCACGCGCGTGTGTGTGTGTGCGTAATACCAATGCAAAGATCTTTCGATAAAATCACCTAGAGTAGTTTCTACACAGATTTTGATTGATTAGGTTCGTGCCGTTGTGATGTAAGCGTGCATGGTATGCGTGTAGGCTCATACAGAGATTGAGAGGGAGTTACGTGTGAAAGAACGTTGGCTTTCAAAAGTGGGATTAAGTTATTGAAAATCTGCCAGTGGTTGATTTAAAAAGGAAAGATTGACCAATCAACTTAATCAATCAGTTAATAGTTGACATAAATATAATGTTTTAATATTACATTCGCCTTTCCAAGCGATATTTTACTGGCGTGGGAATGCAGAGTAGAATTTCTTTCACGAGGATTTTGCGTTATTTCGTTTTCTGCGTTTTATAACTTCCTTGCTTGTGAACTATGCAGGCAAATCGCCCTTGAAATTCTTAACGCTGATCCAAACATCCTAAAAGACTTAATTCTTTATCTACTCGTCTGAATTTAGACGTATCTTTGTGCTTTCTAAATATTGGATTTTATTGATCTTCATTCTTAGTGGTTTTGATCGAAAAGTCGCCTGTTTCCGATATCTCTGTTATGCCAACTCCACCGGCCAGAAATTGGAGATCAAAGTAAGCCGACGAAACCTTCTCACAGACTCCTTCCGTCAAATCCTAGCTGTTCCTCCCTCACATCTCCGTGGTCGCCTGTCCGTGTCGTTTAAGGATGAAGAGGGTTTGGACTATGGGGGTGTCCAAAAGTAAGTCCTCCGACACTCGCCGAAATTGCCAGACTATCTTTATTTATTTCGTTAATTTCAGCAAAAAGTCTTTTCATAAGGTCTTGAGAGGGTTTTTCTGAAGTATGGTAGGCAATATTCTGGAAAGCCGAAGCTTTTGCGACACCTTTCAAATCTCGGCTTTCTTACTATGGCTCAAAGTTTATGTTTGCGCAGAAGAATGATTCCGTGATGGTGCTACTTAAATCAATAATGCTACATTGTCGTTTGTCGCTAAAAGCCGGCGATATTCCCCCCGCCCCCTTGATTAACCCGCATTGCAGTATGATGCTACCTTATTGTACACCCATTTACACGAGGATGGCTGTTGAAAAGACCAACTAGTATCGTAATAAGTGCGTTCAATTAATTTTAATTGAGTAGTCAAGCCAAAAGTCCCAAGGTAAACGTCGTCACTTGGTGTACACCGGAATCAGTAAATACCGATCAAAGAAGGTACTAGTAAGTGAGTTGCTCACTACAGTGGCTCCAGAATGGGTCCTCTCCTAGACTGTGATTTATTCCTTTGGTTTTTAAAATGTACGCCTATCTAGAAAATGGAGGGATTTGGTTTTATGATTTGTATTTAAACTGTGCTATCTTCTCTAATACGACACCGCTCCATTTGACGCCTGCCCTATCCCCCCTCTCCACAATTTTAATATTTGGGTCGCATTAATACCTACCTCCCCCCTGTAACAAGGTGTTTTCGACTTTTTGTAGTTTGCTGGATAATTGCCCATTTTTCTTTGGTTTTTTCCCATTTATTTAGAGAGTGGTTCTACAAGCTCTCCGATCAGCTCCTAAATCCCATGTACTGCCTGTTCGAGTACGCCAGTGGGAACAATTTCTCCCTTCAAATAAACCCCAACTCCTCAGTGAATCCAGATCACTTGCAGTACTTCCGATTCGTCGGACGCTTCATTGCCCTGGCTCTTTTCCACGGCAAATTAATTGATAATGGTTTCACGCTGCCCTTCTACAAACGCCTACTCAACAAACCACTCCCTCTGAAGGATATACAAACGGTAGATGAGGAGTATTACAATTCGTTGAAGTTCATTCAGTAAGTCTCTGGCTGCTGTACACTTAAGTGGTGCTGTCAGTTTCAAGTGTAGTGTGTGAGTTGCCAGAGTGTGGTCATGGTGTGTTTAAATCAATACACATCCCTTCATTCGTGGGTTCATTGTAAGTGCACTTTCCATTGAAAGATTGTGGAGTCGCTTTCTACTTTTGAGCCTTTTACCAAGGATTTGGAACTGGAGCTGAGGTGTGGGAATGAATGAGCAATAATGGAGAAAAGACTTGAGCTTTACTTTATTAGGTTACCGACTTTACAGGTATAACTTGCCCGCATTGAAGAGGTGTATCTTCAAACACCCATCTTGGGGTAAAGTAGTAACAAGAAATGGCTAGTCATTCCGTGGTCATGGAAGGTGCGATTTTCTATAGTATCGGAGAGATTGGTTATCAGGTCGTACTCAACATTTAAATCTTAAATTCGAAATTCTACTGCTGCTTTTCTTTTGAGGTACTTTTGATAATTTTCATCGTTATTCAATAAAAGTTTACAATTGTATGCTTTCGCCTTTACTGTTCGGCAGGGATTTTTTCCTTGTTTCTTAAATCTCCTTCGTCTCCATGAAAAGGTCTTTCCTTTTACTCTAACCTCCCCTGGACATATTATATATCCAATAAGAAATGGAGTTCAGTTTGCGTCCAGTCACGTAAAGGGAGCAATGAATTTGATTTTATTGTAAAGTTATAGATATCCAACCTCAAAGCAGACAGAGAACACACTAGGTATTGTATCAGGACTTGAACGCGCCTGCAAGACTAATAATGACATTACTGCAGTTTATCATCAAGTCTGCCGATGTGAATCTTGATTTAGATGATTAAACAGCGAGCCAAAGTGAGGACTTCAAATGTTTATGCAGTCGTATTGATAGCCGAAACTCGAATGTTCATGGTGGATTGGCAGATTGACTATGATAGGAAATTGGGCTGTCATCGCATCATCTTTCCCAGTATAACAATGATGAGTGGAAAAATGTTTCTCTGTTATTCTAAAAACTAAGAGATTGTCCCTTTTTACAGTAAGGTGTTACTAAGACTGAGACGTGGATCGTTGATGTAAATGAGTAGTAAAATCAATGATTGCCTCCAAAAGGAACGTCTATTCCACCTCCCCAAGTTCAAGTCGAGGTAGACATTTGTGCACTTCTTCTATGTATATAGTGAGATTTATGTGAAATAATTTATCACCAATGGCTACTACGAAGTCTATTGTCTCCAATTGGGCAAGACTAAATAAAGCCTTAAAGATAAACGTTCACGTGCATTTAGCGGGATTCTTCACCATGGCCTCACCGACCTCACAAAGCAAGAATGACCTTCCAAAATAGAGGAATTAACGTTGGAGGTTTTGTCGCACATCATTTCTATTCTCCTCTCATCATCTCTTCCGTTCATCAATTGTCAGGTGTTTGGAACATTCTTTAAGCGTAAAACGATTATTTTTAAATACGGCTGAAGTCGAAAGTTACTTGAACTTATGTTTTACTTCAGGTACAGCAGGGTTTTTTTCAAAAATGGTTGTCTAAGTTTCAAAAGCAGTAAGGGAGAGAGTTACAAATACTGGTTGAAATTGTTTCTGATGTTTCTCAAGTGCCAAATTTCTTTTCTGGACGCCCCTATTAGTAACAGATCTCAAATTTTGATACGCTTCAGTATGTCTTTCATGACTACGTGACAATAAGCGGAATTGATTTACGAAAGTTTAACAACTGGATGCTATTCGCAGCTTTTTTGGTTGTTAGCGCATCTTGGTCTTTGTAAACTTTACTCGGGTAAAGGTCACGAGACTTTTTGTCCTGTTAGTTTTAATTCATTGATACAGATGTTAAACCACCTTTGGTTACTCTTTCCGATCAAATGGGGTGCTATGATTTGAGCTTCCCAAAGATCATTTTCCCTATCCAACCAAGTATCGCTTGCATTTATGTTAAAGGTCCTTCTCTAAATTCCATTATATTGACATTTTTCTTTCCAGGGAGAACTCAGTGGATAAAGCGGATTTGGAGTTATATTTCGTTGCTGACTACGAACACTTTGGTCAACATATTAGCTGTGAACTCAAGCCAGGAGGCAAAGATATCAAAGTCACCGATGAAAACAAACAGGAATATTTAGAGTAAGTCACATTTCTCCCTATTGTGAGCACAGCGTGCTTCCCATCACATGAGCACCTAGCAACCTCCCTTTTATTGTTGTTTGGCGAATAGCGTAGCAAAGCTCTCTTTCTATTTCGCTTTCCATATGATTTCAATTAGCTTTATTCCCACTACCAATACACCCGTGTGGATAAGCCGTACTCGTGCTTATTGGACAATATTCAAAAATACTACTTATTAAGATATCAGTATGATGCAACCTACACTGGTAAATAAGTGATATCAGAATTAGAGCTGTTATGTTACTATAGAAATTTTGTTAAATATCCCTTCTCTTGTGGATTTGTTGACATTTAAATTTCCCAAAAGGTTCATAAACTGCAGTTATCTTTTTCAGTTTTTTTCCATGTCTCATTAAGAGTTTGCGGAGAAAATATAATAAATATGAAATTCTTAAAATTCCATTATAATAAATCACGCAATTATTTTTATTCCTGACTGTTAGATTGATAGTAGATGGTGAGATAAGAATGGCTTAAAATTAGGCAATACTTTTATACATTGAGTCAATACGTATATTCAAGTGTTTTTTTAACTCGAAAATCACTTGAGATTTCACGAAAGTGAGATGATGTGACTTACGCGCACGTAAATGATATTTTTGTTAAGTGCAAAATGTGTGTCGAATCGTTTTAGGTGAAACCTTCTCTTACAATATATTTAAGTCATGTGATCGCTTCAGGAACTTATATGTCTACCAAACCTCAGTGGACTTTTTTGGACCTAAAGTACATACTACTGAAATGTATTTGCCGCTTATGAGTGGATTGTCGAAATATTCGAACTCCTTAGTTCTACTGTTATGTGCATACGGGTTAACTAAATAGTTTTAAAAGTGGTTTAGCTCTATTGCTTAGAGTTCTGTATTAGATATGTGAGTAGTTGGAGCACCATGTATCGACTTGTCATCTTCGACGTTAGTTTAAGACCCAATGCGTGTCCTTTCAAAAGTGAATGCGTGCATTGTTCCGAGATGAGGAGAAAAGGGAAATCCCAATTCTCTAAGCATTCATCAAACTATTTCCTCAAAGCTCTAGTTATCCATTCGCTCCTTGGAATATCATAATGTGTACTATCTTTGTAAATACATGGATATATTAACCTGAATGGAGGGAGGGAGCGAGGGGTGGGGGGTTAGACAGTGTCTCCATCTGTCCTGATTTCAAAATTAGTGGCTGAAAGTGAAGAAAAGGTATGCAGCACATCAGTGGCCCCTATTCCTTTATCTCTTTCATTTACAGTTTGATGGTGAACTGGCGGTTTACAAGAGGAACAGAGGAACAGATGCAGGCCTTCATGGAAGGTTTTTCCGACGTCTTTCCACTTCATTGGCTTCGGTACTTCGATGAACGTGAACTTGAAGTATGTCACTTGAATTTTTGACTCTTATACAAAGCATGCTCGTTGTCCATTTATTGTGATGGGAATATTAAAACGACGTGTAATATCGCTTTGCAGTATATGCTTGCTTCAGTGAAGAATATCTAATCAGTGGTTATTTTGAGATGATATTGGCAAGCATTCGTTTGTGGAGTCTAAATTCGTATGGAATCCCTCCAATGGTAACTCGTCATACCTATTTTAGTGAGGTGATGCATGCCCTCCAAATTATTGTAGAGGTGGAGAGTAGGGTTTGGAGAGTTTAATATATCTCATTTATCATCGTCAGAAATATCAAGCTTGAAAGAAAGCAGAACTGTGTAGTAGTGTCCACAGTTCTATGGGTGACCAAAGGTCTAATATCTGTGAGAAAATAAGTGAAGTGACGTTGCAAGTAGATCGCGAAAGTTTTTAATTTTGACACTCAATGAGCCTTGATCATCTCACTATTGTATTTCGGTAAGAGGTATGTAGTTGGAGATTCCAGGTATGCCATCAATAATGATTAACTGTATCCACTTAAGCTGTCAATTTATTTTAAGCGTAAACACAATGTGGATCAATGATAGAGTTCACATTGTCTCCTACTGGATAAAAGAGGGCTTATTTTTTTAATAAAACCTGACGACATAAAGGCTAATGTTGTACTTGAAATGTGTGGCCTGCAGATTCGAAAAAGCAATGCCAAATCTAGAACAATCTTCTATCCTTGAAACCACACCCTCATAATACAAATAATTGCACCTCTGTCATTTGAAGATCGGGCATCTCTTTATGGTTAAATTGTTGTTTGCCTGTTTTTGATCTCAATGTCCTAAGGGAGCTTCAATAGTGTGTCCCAACAGGAGGTTCTCATTTTCTTTCCAGTGGTCTGAAATTGTTATAATATGATGTATGACCTTTGTAACTTGTATTATGTAGCTGCTCTCTTTATGCGTTTGCTTATACTATGACTCATTTCATTCTATGTGTCAAGTTGTTCAGGACGTCTCTTGCTATGCTCCAGGTCCTAGAAATGGGGCTGAGTTGAGATGCTATCTACTTTGCCATCCGTCGAGTTCTATGGCATTTCCGAGTTGTGTAATTCCTCAACACTTTTGCAATAGTGATCGAAGTCCTTGCTATCACTCCCCATTCATTTCTAATTTCTTGTTTTGCAATCCGTCATAGATGGTTCTCTGTGGAATACAGAAGATTGATGTGGATGACTGGCAGAACAACACAAACTACAAGGAGTACACAGCAACAAGCAAGCAAATCGTCTGGTTCTGGAAAGTAAGCCCCATCTCTCAACCAATTAGACAGCTTTAGTCATATTGGAAAGCTCATGCCTTTATTTTCTCCCCTAGTTTGTCAAAACGTTGACTCCAGAAAAGCGCGTCCGTCTACTTCAATTCGTTACTGGAACTTGTCGTCTCCCTGTTGGTGGATTTAAAGAACTTATGGGTAAGTGGACATGCAAACAACTACATATCAATTTTGATAAACTTTTGACATGACTAATTTATTCTCAACTTGCAGGAAGCAACGGTCTGCAGCCATTTACGATTAAGCGTGCGGGAAAAGAAAACTCTCTTCCCCTCTCTCATACCTGCTTCAATCGTCTAGACCTCCCGCCATATCGAACCTACGAAATTCTTGTTGAGAAGGTGACTCTGGCTATAGATGAGACTGAAGGTTTTGGATTGCAGTAGAGCAAGTTGAATCTACCCCCTCCCCCCCAACTCCTCCTTCGTTCTTTCTGTCCATGAGAATATTGTTTTGAGATTTTTGCGAATTTGTTTCCCTAATCAGAATCGACTACTATTGTTATGATGATGACGATGATGAGTTACGTGGTGGTATTAACGCAACCTTATCATTCGTCTTATCCCTTTTCTCCCTCCCGCTCGTAAATTCGATCTTTTTCAATTTCATTCCCCTCAATGTGATCTCTCTTTTGCTTAATAATGGGGACTGTTACTTAATTTGAATTAGTAGTATAAGGCTTCTCTTGTTTTCGTTTGTATCATAACCCTAAGTTACTATTCCGTATTATGATCAACTGGGTGAAAAGAAATCTGAGGCAGAATTTGTCTGTCACTAACTTGCCGCAAGTTTGTGCAAGTTGCAACTAATTTATCTATGACTACATGGTCTAAACAGGGAACGGCTGTCCTTTTACTTAATTGTTGTGTCGATGGTGCAAGTGGCCAATCGTATGGATCTATTTATATGCTGTTAGCAGTTGTCAACGCGTCGGTTAATAAAAGGATGGCATGTTCTCACCTCTTAGATCTTAGTTTCGAGAATGTTCTCTGGCATATTAGTGTGGAAAATTGGAAAAAAACGATAAATGGCGTATAATTGACTGGGCCTCTTAGTAGAAGCATAGATGGTGCCAACAACAGTTGTTTAGTGATAAATTAAGTTTCAATAAAACTAAATCAAGCAGACAAGAGGAAATTGGATGTTTGCTGAAGTGTTGTCAACGAGGCAGAGACCTCACTAAGTGGATCAAAGTGAACCATTGAACTATTCTTCTCCTCGATCGGTCGTCGAATTATCTTAATAAGGCAGATTAGCGAGTGTTAAAGCGGAGCCATTTTGGAGAATCTGTTGGAGTAATTACAACCTTATCTAACCACTTGAAATCAAGTCAGTAGAAATAAAGATTGAGTGCAGACTCTATCTAACTGACTGAAAAAAACTATGTAGTTGGTCTTGGAACCAGTGAATTAACAGCCTCTATTTGACTATATGTTACCTATCGAAGTCGGAGACTAAGCAAATATGAGCGTTAAGAAACTCTCCATGCTGATAGTCGGGTCACGTCCATACTACACCGATAGTTCACAAACGTCGCCAGCTGTATGCGCTGGGGAGTCTTATTCGTGAAGGAATATTCATTTATTTCAAATGACAGGCCTCTTGATAGTCATCATTAGCCCATTAGCTGACTTCAGGTTTCCTAGAGGGAAGGAACGTCACAGTGAGAGAAATCGAGAGGGGGATAAAAAGAGTGCTACACCGAAATAAAGAGAAATAGGTAAGATAAGGCGAGTACTGTGGATGTGGTCGAAGATATACAGTGGTCATGGAAGTTTGAAGTGAGAAGTCAACTGCCGGTTTATAGACCTTTTGCCCAGAGTGGACCACGAGGAGGTAAATCTATCGCACACCCCTCGTGGACGATTATAGTGCTACCTCGTTAAATTATCCGATGCTATGGAAGAAGGATAGAATAATTACTGACCTGGGAAGTTCTAGAATAGCAAAATCACAGGTTACCACTATGCCTTGCAATTGGTCTTAAAATACGTACCGATACACACAAAACAATCATAGAGGCTAAAATATTGGTGAAGGTAAAGTCTTTCACCAGTAGCCTATCGAAATTCAGCTGAGCTGCAAGCAAGAAAAGATTGACACTGAGTTGTCTAATGAAGTAGCATAGCGCCCTGTTTGGCAGAAAATGTCGAAATGATAGTCCAATTTCCTTTTCTTTTCCAATTATCCTACCAAACATCCATGTAAACCGTGTTCCCGTCCGAATCAACCATTCATTTTACTCATTAATGCCTACTTTGCAAATGTAGGTATCTCAAAAACAAAAATAATAATCTTAATAATAATAATAATCTGAAAAAAGGTATTGCAGGCTGGAGAAAATTATATGTATTCGCGCAATTGACACTTTGTCGAAGCCCACATCCATAGTTAGTAAAAAGCATAATTCTGGCACCGAATAGTCTTTTGTATTGCACATTTACTTTTGACATATGAATCATTTACTTCAAATTATATGCTAAAATAAAAGTGTATAATGGTATAAATATACACTTTACGGCGCCCCCCCTCAACCATCCTCCTCACGTATACGCAGTCAATTGTACCTAAGTGTGCAACCACTCCTTCTTTCAACAGTCATCGATTGCGTGGGCGAGTGGTTCGGTTCGCCACGATATTTTTGGAGTAGTAATAGGTCTTTACCCGATTCGGTGGTTTGGTTTCCTCCTCACATTTTCCCAATTTGCTTTTCATTTGTAATCTCATTGGTTTTCAGTGATTGGTCATTACATCTAATTGGGCAAAAGGTTACCAGCACCAACTCCAGTTTCATATAAACTATTTAACTGCATTGCACCGTCACACTCTCACATTCATTTAGGATGGAGGTAAGAAAGGTATTGGGTCAATTAAGTGCGTTTTCCTTTTTTTGCAGTTCTTACTTCGCTCCCAGCGCTTCATTCTCCGCTGAAATCCACGAATGCGACTCCGATCGTGACTTATTCCCGCCTTCTGACTCGTTAATGTCGGCAGCCAGAGTGTTGTTAGGATCGCAGTATCCCTTATCTCCTAGATTCCTTACGCACAATCCACAATCATTTGTTGTCAACATTCTTTTTCATTCAGGAATTAATCCACCTCATATCCACCATTCGCCACCATGTAACACCATGCATTAGTAATTTGCGACTATGGGAAGGTGCCTACACATACTGGTTGCTCATATGTGCAACACGACATCCGTATGCAAGTAGTTTCCCGAGGAGATTATAACGTGGGTGGAACAATAACCCTCTTGCTAATCGATTGCCGGGTGGCGCAGAACGAGTGGTTTCGAGTGAAAAGCAGGTGTCATCAATTGGTGAGAAATCTGAATTTTCTTTGGTAGCATTTCAAGGCCAGAGGAGATGTGAAAGTGTTTAGCGTGGAAATGCGGAATGAATGTGAAATCTCTTGTTATATGACTTCTATCGAGTCGCCTTCGTCTCATGTTGGTCGGACGATAGGCGTGCAGGAATTAAAACCCCAAGAAAGTGAAAGGAAGAGCATAGAATGCAGAGGTACTTAGATTTCCTGGACGAACTGCACATTCGCCAAGTTAGAACCGTTGACGTCATTTTCATAAATTCAATGCTGATGAAATCGCCTTTACGAATTCATCAGTTGGCTTTCAATGGGGTGCGGTTGCTAGGTAGCAGATACAAGCATCGAATAATGAGCGATTGGCAAAGGAGAAGACTAATACTTACTTGCAAAGCCTCCAACAGTTGCCACATGATTGACATGTGAAGCATCAAGAAGATATTGAGTGGCTTGCTGGCTGGTTAATAGCGAAGATCAACAAAACTAGTTTTGCCATTATTTCCTTCTATGCGACATTGTAAAAATCATGGACAAAAATTAGCCAAAATCAAGAATCTATGTTTCCAAGACTAGACCAACACTGGCAAAACGCTTCTAGCTAATCTTATAACCTCGCATCTTTTGGTAAGACTGCGCTCATTTTCTGCTCATTTTGATTTTATTTTGTTGCACTTGTATGCAAAACGCTTACCCTCGTCGTAGCGCCTTTGTATAGACTGGAAGGATGTGTCGTCGTGGTGATCAGACCGTCTTTTACTTCGAAAACTTGCTCAAACGCACAATTACCCTGATGGAGGAAACAAGGATTACAATGGCGGCAAAGAATGCTTATAAGAGCCTCTTTGGAGAAGACAGGTTTGAAGTTGATGTGAAGTATGGGGCAAGGCGGTTCCACGCAAGAATGCCAGTCATAGCAGCCACTAACGAAATCTTAGCATCCTCAAACCTCCAATTAACCAGACGGTAATCTACATCCGAGTGAAGTATATGCTTTGAATGAAAAAATCTCATCTCCACTAATACATTGCACTATTCCCATGCACAATTGACTCACTTCAAACAATTGACCAGTCTCCTTCAAGTAAATCCAAGGTGTGATTTAGTCTCCAAGAATGCCTCCACAACTCCTCATGTGTTAACACTTGAGAAGGAGATGAGAGAAGAGAAGAGAAGGGCAAATGACCATTTGGCCACACACTTACCTCACTCACATTCTACTTACCAATTCATACATTTCCAATCTCACTCTCAATCTCCCTCCTTTACCAGTTAACAAGATATAATCAAAATGGAAGAAAGTTGACACAATTGACTCACTTCAAACAATTCACCAGTCTCCTTCAAGTAAATCTAAGGTGTGATTAAGTCTACAAGAATGCCTCCACAACTCCTCATGTGTTTACATTGGAGAAGGAGATGAGAGAAGAGAAGAGAAGAGAAGGGCAAATGACCATTTGGCCACACACTTACCTCACTCACATTCTACTTACCAATTCATTCATTTCCAATCTCACTCTCAATCTCCCTCCTTTAACACTTAACAAGATATAATCAAAATGGAAGAAAGTTGACACAATTGACTCACTTCAAACAATTCACCAGTCTCCTTCAAGTAAATCCAAGGTGTGATTAAGTCTACAAGAATGCCTCCACAACTCCTCATGTGTTTACATTGGAGAAAGAGATGAGAGAAGAGAAGATAAGGGCAAATGACCATTTGGCCACACACTTACCTCACTCACATTCTACTTACCAATTCATTCATTTCCAATCTCACTCTCAATCTCCCTCCTTTACCACTTAACAAGATATAATCAAAATAATTGAAAGTTGACACAATTGACTCACTTCAAACAATTCACCAGTCTCCTTCAAGTAAATCCAAGGTGTGATTAAGTCTACAAGAATGCCTCCACAACTCCTCATGTGTTTAAATTGGGGAAGGAGATGAGAGAAGAGAAGAGAAGAGAAGGGCAAATGACCATTTGGCCACACACTTACCTCACTCACATTCTACTTACCAATTCATTCATTTCCAATCTCACTCTCAATCTCCCTCCTTTACGCGTTAACAAGATATAATCAAAATAATTGAAGGTTGACACAATTGACTCACTTCAAACAATTCACCAGTCTCCTTCAAGTAAATCCAAGATGTGATTAAGTCTCCAAGAATGCCTCCACAACTCCTCATGTGTTTACATTAGAGAAGGAGATGAGAGAAGAGAAGAGAAGAGAAGGGCAAATGACCGTTTGGCCACACACTTACCTCACTCACATTCCACTTACAGATTAATTCATTTCCAATCTCACTCTCAATCTCCTTCCTTTACCAGTTAACAAGTTATAATCAAAATAATTGAAAGTTGACACAATTGACTCACTTCAAACTATTCACCAGTCTCCTTCAAGTAAATCCAAGGTGTGATTAAGTCTACAAGAATGCCTCCACAACCCCTCATGTGTTAACATTGGAGAAGGAGATGAGAGAAGAGAAGAGAAGGGCAAATGACCATTTGGCCACACACTAAACTCACTCACATTCCACTTAACAATTCATTCATTTACAATCTCACTCTCAATCTCCCTCCCTTACCACTTAACAAGATATAATCAAAATAATTGAAGGTTGATACAATTGACTCACTTCAAACAATTCACCAGTCTCCTTCAAGTAAATCCAAGGTGTGATTAAGTCTACAAGAATGCCTTCACTACTCCTCATGTGTTTTCATTGGAGAAGGAGATGAGAGAAGACAAGAGAAAAGATGGGCAAATGACAATTTGGCCACACACTTACCTCACTCACATTCTACTTACCAATTCATTCATTTCCAATCTC